CCGTCATTGCCCCGCCCCAGCCCTGTCATGCATAACTCTGCCCTTGGACAACCTCTGGAGGAGCCTCAACCACGTGCCCTTTCACTTGTGGGCTTTGTTCCGTGACTCCCAACACACAGTCCTACCGGCTCTCCAAACAGTGGCAGCAGGTCTGTACTTGCTACCCACGGACCAGAGTCCCAACGTGCAGGATTCAGTCCCAGGGCTGTGAGTTCACAAGGAGGCTTGGTCCCTGGGGCAAAGGGGTCCCAAGGCAGAATGTGGCAGTGTGGGAAGATGTGTTTGAAGCTGTCTGGGCACAGTGGGGGACAATACCTCCTGCTCCTAAGTGGCCACACCCAGTCCGATGTTTTCACTTGCATTCTATCCCCAGTCTATGCATTTCAGAGTTCACATCGACATAGTTTTGGAGCACCTATTGTATGCCAAGCACTAATGACTAAGACTCAGTTTTGTGATTTCAATGATCTGGATGACCCAGTACTTGGTGCAGAGAGGGTAGCTCAGAGGATTGGGGGAGTCTCTTCTCAGGAAACGCCCATGCTGGTGTAGGTGGGGACCAAGCTCTAGCCCCAGTGAGCCCCAGCCTGAGAGGGTGAGACAAGATCCACTCCTGAGTGGGATGGGGAGGGAGCTACCTCCTTCCTGCAGGACAGGTTTGTAGTAAGAGCCCAAGAGAAGTCCGGTGGGTGGGGGCTCCCTAGGAGATGCTGCACCCTGTGTCCTTCCCCTGGTCCCACAGACGGTTCTATGACTCTGGAGCCATCATGCTGCGGGAAGAAGCCACGGTCCTCACTGGGATGCTGATCGGACTGAGCGCCATCGACTTCAGGTGGGGTCTGCCTTGTGGTGGTGGTGGAGGGGGCTGCCTCCCGCACAATATCCACACCCCCATCCCCTCACACCGCCCCCAACCCTGTGGCTCCTCTGCCCCAGCTTCTGTCTAAAGGGTGAAGTCCTGGACGGGAAGACCCCCGTGGTCATCGATTACACGCCCTATCTAAAGTTCACCCAGAGGTGAGCAGCCCGATTATTGGGGTGGGTGCGCAGAGCGGGCACGGGGACATCTTGGTTCCACTGCCGAGGGGGCTGGCGCGGGCGCGCGGCGGGCGGGGGCGGGCCGTGCACACTGGTCCCTCCCCCAGCTACGACTACCTGACGGACGAGGAGGAGCGGCACAGCGCCGAGAGCAGCACGAGCGAGGACAACTCGCCCGAGCACCCGTACCTGCCGCTCGTCACCGACGAGGACAGCTGGTACAGCAAGTGGCACAAGATGGAGCAGAAGTTCCGCATCGTCTATGCGCAGAAGGTGCGCGGCGGGGCGGGCGGGGCGGGGGACAGGGCCCCGCGGGCCGCAGCCGGGACTGGCCCGGCTTGGGGCTGAGCCGGCGCCCCGCAGGGCTACCTGGAGGAGCTGGTGCGTCTGCGCGAGTCGCAGCTGAAGGACCTGGAGGCGGAGAACCGGCGGCTGCAGCTGCAGCTGGAGGAGGCGGCAGCGCAGAACCAGCGTGAGAAGCGGGAGCTGGAAGGCGTGATCCTGGAGCTGCAGGAGCAGCTGTGAGCGCCGCCGCCTGCCCTGCCCCTGCCCCGCCACCCCGACCACGTCACCCCGCTGCACCCCTTCATAGCCCCCATCGACTCTCGTATCGCCTTTCCTTGGATCTGGCCAGCCCCACCCCAAGATCCCCGCAATGACCTTCTAATATTGTCCTCAACATAAGATCCAGTGACTTCCAACAGCGCCACCTTCACCCTCAATTTACCGGCACCGGCCAGAGTGGCCATCCAACATTACTGCAGGGACCCAGCATTACTCACAAGGACCTCTGCTGTTACTCAGTGACCTTCAGCGTGACTGCGCCCTTCCCACTGCTCGGCACCCCTCCGATCTGCATCACAGGCCCTTGTCATCATCCACAGTGACCCCCGACCCAACCCTACCGATCCCTGTAACATTTCTTCCCTACACCTTTTGGTCACTCTGACTTTCCATCATGACCCCCCAAGACTCCAGGGATTCCACGCTTTTCTCCACTGATGCCCCATCACCCCAACTGACTCATACAGCACTCCATTACTCCCTCTAGCTGTGGGTGTTAGCGCCCATCACCCCTCCACCCCAGGGTCACGTCCATTGCCTTCCAGGACCTGCCGCACCGACCCCAACATGGTATCCCCACTTTTGCTATTCAGGTTTCTTTTCTAGGCCCTTCTCCACCCCTTGTTGAATCTCCCTTCCCCACGTGTCCTCCCACTCCCAGCAAGGCCTGACCCCTCCTCCCCCTCCCAGGACAGGTCTGATCCCCGGTGACCACGCCCCCCTGGCCCAGGGTTGCAAGGAGCTCACCACGCCCCTGGTCAACCAATGGCCTTCGCTGGGAACGCTCAATGGGGCGGAGGGTGCCAGCAACTCCAAGCTCTACCGGAGGTAAGTTCCAGCCAGGCCAGCCTCCGGCCTGAGTGCCAGTACCCCCGGGGAAGAAGGGCAACGCGACGTGGCGGCTGGCCCCTGCCGAACACCAGCTCTCTGCTCTGCTGCAGACACAGCTTCATGAGCTCGGAGCCGCTGTCAGCTGAAGCTAGTCTGAGTTCCGACTCCCAGCGCCTGGGAGAGGGCAAGCGGGATGAGGAGCCCTGGGGCCCCATCGGTGAGCGCCCCCAACCCGTCACCCAGCACCCTTCCAGGAAGGGCTGAGGCAAAGCCTTGGAACCAGGCTCTGTCCAGTTCCCTCATTCGCTCAGCCCTTTCTGAGAGCTTAGCACAGCAATTAAGAGCTTGGATTGGGATGTCAGGCAGAACCCATTGCAAATCCTGGCTGTGCCTCCCTGGCTATGTGAGCTCCGCCAATCATTTCACCTTGCTGAGTCCATTTGCATCTGTAAAATGGGGGTGTCGATCAAAATAATCACCAGTGTCAGCATATGGTGAGGGTGCGATGGCTTTTTGGTGTCGTGACATCCTGAAGGGGCTCACAAACTGCAGGATTCCTCAGCCTGACTCGCTCTTGTCTCATGCACACTGTGTACTACTTGCCTGACCATTGTTTCCCCCTTTTCTTTGGCTGCCAGGAAGCTCAGAGCCAAATTAGTGGCTCCCTTCGAGCGAATGCCCAGGACTTCAACGCATGCATTTTGTGTTGACCTCACCCCTGGCTTCATCTTGGTTTTACCCATCCTAGTTTTCCCTGTGCCTGGATTTCCTGTCTTCTCTTTTTTATAACCAACCACACTGTATCGGATGACCCTAGATCTTCTCTAAGACAAGGCAGGCTGTGGACTTGTAACCCTGTCACACTGTGTTTGTGATTGTCTGTGTGTCTGTCTCCCCACCAGACTGTGAGCTCCGTGAGGGCAGGGACTGTGTCTCGTCCGTTCTCTGTATCCCCAGTGCTTGGAACAGAGCAAGTGCTCACTGCGTGTTTAATAAATGGACAAAGAGAGAGGATGAACCTCAGGGGGAGACAGAGACATAAACTGACGATTACAATACAGTGTCCCCAGCACTGTGCATGGCATGGGCAGGTGCTTAATTAAGGTTTAATTGAACATGGCAAATGCTCCAGAAGATATCAAGAAAGTCGGGGGAGGGACACGAGGGCTGCCCCTCCTCTGCCCACCCCCTTCCCAACTCACACACATGCAGTCCCGTTGGCACGGCCTCACCCACCCTCTCTCCCCAGGGAAGGACCCCACGCCCTCCATGCTGGGCCTCTGCGGCTCCCTGGCCTCCATCCCCAGCTGCAAGTCCCTGGCGAGCTTCAAATCCAACGAGTGCCTGGTGAGCGACAGTCCTGAGGGCAGCCCAGCACTGAGCCCCAGCTGAGGAACGGCATGGGCAGTGCCAGCCCCACCTGCCAGGGGCCATGGACATCTGCCACTTTTCTTCAAGTCCCCCAATCCAGGCCACCCTTCCAGAGAACACTGCCCACCCAGCCAGGGATCTCTGGGGGAAGACAACCCCCTCCTCTTGCCTGTCTTAGCTTCTTGCAGAGGAGGCAGGGGCTGCAGCTGCAACAGGAAGTCAAGGGTACCAAGGTCATAGGAGTCCCCTGGGGAAGCCTGTTCCATTCTTCCAGTGACCCTATGCCTGGCCAGCTCCCTTCTGGACTCCCCTTCGCTCATCTCCCCGGCCCTCCTTAGGAGCTGGCGGCCCAGCCTCCTTTGCAGCCCCACGCCCCATGCCTTTCCTATTCTATGTGTCCCCTGGAGTCACTCCTTTCCCAGCGCCTGGGGCGGGGTGTCTGAGGGGATCAGATGAATAAAAACCAGAGGACTGAGGGCAGCCTCATCTGTGGGCAGCTGGACGGGGCCTGACCCACAACCAACGGCAGAAAGAACTAGCGCCGGCCCTGTGGGAGCAGGCGGGCCATAGCACAAGGAGTGGTGGCTTTCGTACGAAGCGTCCCAAGTATTAGGTCTGCTCAGGGCTGGACCGAGACACATAAGCACCCGTCAACCTGACATTCTTTAATAACTTGCTCAGACCCAGGCTGAGAGGAGGCTGAGCACCCCAGGGGAAGGATGGAGATGTGCTCTGGTGGGGCCCCATCCTTGACACTAGCCTGAGCAATTCAGCTTTGGCCCAAACTTGCAGACCCCACTCGACCCCGCCCACGTGCTCCCTGACACACAGCTGATGAGATGCTGGAACTCTGCTCCCCACCATCTCCAACAACCCTTGGGCCTCCCAAGGGTGCCTCTGCCAGCCTCACCTCCAGCCCAGTCACTCACCATCCCTGAGATGCCACCAGCCATAAGGCCAACTGTCAGGCCAGAGCCTGGCAGGTAAGCTACCCTTCTTCCTTTGCTGACACTGAAGTGTAAGTGGACCTTGCTAAGTTGGAGAGGTCCTCTTTGTGGGTGTCACCCCGGCAGCCACAGCCAGCCCAGGGCTCCTCCCAGGCCATCTCTTGCAATGAAGGGCCCACTTCCCCCACGCCCCCCTCCAAGGCGCACTTTCCCCAGCCACCCCAGGCCTCCACAGTCACAGGCACCAGGCACAAGTTCATCATCTTTAGACTTAAGGAATTAACAGGGGTGAGAGAGACTAAGCCAGGCCCAGGGTTTCTGGGCTCCTGGCGACAGGCCCAGCTACAGCAAACACAAAGGGAAACACAAAGCAGGGGTGTGGGGGACAGACAGCAGATTTGGTCTTGAACTTGGAGAGGGGGAAAGTGGTGATCCTCAGGAGTGGGGAGAAAGCTGTGTCTGAGGATGGCTTGGGCGGCCCCTAGGGCAGCCCTATCCCCCGGGGCTTGTCACCAAGAGAGAAGGGAAACAGCCCTCCCCTCCATGCTGAGGAAAAGGCACTTGGCTCAGTCTCCTCTTCCTGCTCGCCCTATCCGTGGAAAGACAGGGTCCTTGCTTCACTCCCCTTCAGCGGCCCAGGGGCCGGTCCTGGTTGAGCCTCTGGAAGAAGCTTTTGCCAAACTCGTAAGTGCTGATCATGATGGCGCAGGAGGGGGCGGCCTTGATGATCCTGGGGAGGAAGCCTGCGGCAGGAGGGGGCCAGGTCAGCGTCCACCCACCCAGGGCAGGACACACAGATGCTTGCACACACACACTCACCTGCAAAGAGTCCCCTGGTGCCTGACTCAGCCCTGATCCTTCGCAGCAGCAGCCAGGTGGAGTCCACGTGCAGGGGTGTCACTGCAAACGCGAGGCGGCTCAGGCTCAGCAGACCCCACTTCACCTCGCTCACGCCCTGCCCACCCCACCCCTGCCAGGCCAGCCCTCACCTCTCACAGCCTCCATCGCTCCCAGTGCGACCTGGCGTTGGGTCTTCACCACGTCAAAGGGTAAAGTCAGCACCGCAGCTACCTGGGGGGGGGTGGGGAAGGGCTCGATCCAGTCCCAGAACCCCCAGCCCCTGCATCCCAGGGGTTTCTGGGGCTGGGAGGGACAAGGGCCTCACAGGGTCTGGCAAAGAGAGCAAGCGTGCTCCCGCACACACAGCTTGTGCGCTACTATGTAGGGACTCGCCTCCCAGTATCTCCAACAACCCTCAGGCCCCCAGGACACCTCCAATAGCCTCACCTCCAGCCCAGTCACTCACCGTCCCTGAAATGCCGCCAGCCACAAAGCTGATGCCCACGGATGTCTGGTCCTTCGGCCTGAGCCCACTCAGCCAGCTCTTCACCAGCTCATAGTTGAACCAGTACAGGGCTGGGGGGCATACGCTCATTAGAGATGGGGGCAGGGAGGTGGGCCTCAGACCCCCCATCTTGCACTCCCTCCCAGTCACAAGGCTGTCTGCTATGTGCCATGCCCTGTAACAGGTCCCTGTAGAGTTAGCTCACAGAAACCTGGGAAGATACTTTCCCATTTCACATATGAGAAAACTAAGGCTCAGAAAAGTGACTTCACGATCAGCAGTAACAAAGCAGGGACTTGGCAGTAGACCCTTGTGCATCATCACCCTTACCCTATCCCCTGCCCCCCAGGTGCCTACCTGAGAAGGGCACATCTCGAAGGGCAGTGGGACCCCAGCCCAGCCACAGTGAGCGCCAGCCTCCCTGAGCCACTGCAGCACGGACGCAGGCACCCAGCTCCCGGTACGACACATGCTGTGCCTGCAGCTTTGTGCGCATAAGCTCCAGGGGACTGATCACAGTCACAGTGCCCACTGCAGGGGGGATAATGGGGAGAGGTCAGGTCACAGGCCCTATGTGGCATCACCCAGCTGCTGCCCCAGGATCTGGGGGCCTGGAATACCCCCTCCCCCGCAGCCTGGCAGAGGCTGGGGCACAGGTGGGGACAGACGAGATGAAGGGCCCAGGGCTGTGCTCACGGCGGGCAAGTGCCCCAGCCACCATGGGTGCGTAGAGGTCAGAGATCAGGGCTCGAGCACACAGGAAAGCCTTGAGTTGGTCGTAGGCAGTGAAGTAGATGGCGGTAGCTGGCACAGTCATCACCCTGGGGATGTGGACAGTGGTTAGCTAGGACTCCTAAGGGAGTCTTATGCATCCCTGCCCAGCCAGCCAGTGGTGAGCAAGGGATCAGCGGGGACCAGGGGAGGACAATGCGCAGGACTAGGCTACTCACAGGGTGGCTGGGAGGCCGCTCCACAGGGTCCTGGTGCCCTCATGCCTCACAATCTTCACAAAGGCATCCTGGCCAAGCGGGGACGCCAGTCCAGGGGGAGGAAGATGGACATGAAGGAAGCCTGTGATGGGGCTGGCCCAAACTGGGCCTTTGCCTGATATTCTCAGCCTCTGCCCACAGCCCTGGGTCCTGCTGAGAGGCGGTCAGCCCCTCAGGCCTCCACATATGCAGTTCCCCAGTCAGGTGAACTCCTATTCACCCTTCAAAACCTCTTGGAGCCACTACCTTCTCTGTGAAGCCTTTACCAAACTGAATGGGCTACCTCCACATGCCTCGCACTACCCATTCTTTCCTGGGTCTGCTGCCTGGCCAGACTGAACCCCTGGGCAATGCTGTGGTCCCACAGCTGCTCCTCACCACGGTGCCAGTGAAGCGGGTAGGGTCCTGAAACCAGGTGGCACAGCGGGAACCATTTGGGCACAGGTACAGGGGCTCGAAGACACCATTGCAGTACAAAAGACACTTCCCTGTAGATCGGAGAGAAGAGGGCACTGGGGAAAGGCAGGGGGTATTAGGATGACAAGTCCCTGGAACCTTGCAGGGAGGTGGGGAGCCCCTACCCTAGAAGGCCAGCAGAGGCTGAGATCCCTGTGTGGACACTCTGCTGGCTGAGGTGACCTGGAAGTAGGTGCTGGTCCATGGTTATGGGACCCACTGGTGCCCTGGGGACACGGGGACTCTTCCTCCCCTGCACCCTCCCAGGCTTCCTATAGCTTGGGGCACTCACATTTGGCATAGGAGAGGTTCCAGAGTCTAGAGGAAGACACCAGCTCTAAAATATAAAGCAACCCCTCAAGTTAGGAGAGCCCCCCCACCCACCCCAGGAACCCCATCTCTGGGAGAGCCTTCTTTTGCCCAGGCACCACCTCCCATTGGCTCCAGGGTCAGGTACTCACCACTGGCCACTGATGGACGCTGAGACTGCAAGCGGACCTTCACCACATCGAGGGGTGTCACTGCAAGAGGAGGCAGGTCTACTCAGGACCCCACCTGTGACCCCTCCCCCAGGACCAAGCTGCCTCCAATGTCTGGTCTGCCCAATACCCAGCTGCCCGCATCCCACCTCCCCAGGTCTTACTGAAAAGGGAGGTGACCACAGCCCCAGCGCCTGAGGCCACCATATGTTGGAGGGGGCTGATGCCCCCGGGGTCCTGGTCAGCCATCTTGTAGTTTCAGTCCTGAAAACCAAACCTCAGTCAAATGGAGCACCAGCTCACAAAACAGAACTCAGCAGGAGCTGGGCCAGAAAGGAGGCACAGGCGCGGGACTTTAACCTCCCCCGCCCCCATCACTCACCAAGCATGAATTACCTCAATACCCTGACTAGGGCTTTCTAAAGTTAGCATCAGCCCCACTTTGCCAACCGGGAAACTAAGGCTCAGAGAGAGCAAGTGACCTGCCCAAGGTCACTCCGGGAGCAGTTTGGAAGGAAGCTAGCACAGCCATCCTTTGGCTAATGGTAATGATGGCCCAAGGCTGTTCCCTCAGCCCCATTACGTGCGCTAACGCTGCACCGCCTAAGCGCAGATCCGGGCTTCCGCCCTTCGGTCCAAATATCGAAACACCTGAGCCACCGCGTCCTCCACTCCAGCACCAGGCCCCGCGGCGGGCACGTGGAACCCCGAGGGCGGGCGTGGAGAGGTGGGACCGGGCCTCGAGGGAAACGGGTAAATGAATCTGATCAAGAAGGGCCCATCGCCCCCTCGGGCCTGCCGGCGGGGGTGCCCGGCGCTCCCCCGCACCCCACCTCGCGAGGCCACACGGGTCAGGCCCCGGCCTGGCTGGGAAGGAGTCCTTCTGCCCTCTGCCGCAAGTACAGGCCCGGGGCTCAGCCGGGAGGCTGGGGAGCAGGATCGGGGAAAAGGGATCTCTCCTCGACCCCCGGTGACACTCCCTGCCCCGGACCCGCCGCCGGGTGAGACAAACTACGTTGGCCTGACGGCCTGCGACTCTAGGCCCCCAGCCCCGGCTCCTGGGATCCCCGAGAGACCCTACTCCCGCCTCCGCCCCCAGCCAGCCCCAGACCCGGACTCGCCCCGCCTACTTGGTTCTAGGCCGGTGTTCGCGCGGCGCGGCACCAGGGGCCGGGCCGGCCCATAGCCGCTCCGCGGCCGGTGCAGGCTCCGCGCGCTCGCCCAGCACCGAGGCCGACTCGGAAAGCCGCTGAGTCGGCCCCGCCCCCAGACCCCGCCGCACGGCCCCGCCCCCTGGAGGGCCGACCAGCTGCACGCCCGGAGAGCCGCAAGCTCCGCCCGCTCGCGACCTCGGCCCGGAACCGCCGTGCTCCCGCCCCTGCTCCCGCCGGCGCTCCTCGAGAGCTGCGGGCCAAGGTCGCGGTCTCCGCGTCGCGCTTGACCGGGCAGCGGCACTGCACTTGGCCGCGTATTCTCAGCAGCCCCACCCCCGACACCCGGCTGAGCGCCGCCGCGGGAGTCCCACTGCCCCTGCGAACGCTCGGGACGGCGAAAGTAACCGCGTCCCTCTGCCCAGCGCGCGCTGCGCGGCGGCGGCGGCGACCACGAGGCTTCAAGGCGAAGAAGATCAGGCAGCCGCGGCGCAAGTCTACCTGCCGGGCTGCCGGTCGAGGAGTCGCGGCCGCGCGGAGATTGGCCGGGCGGGATTCGCACCATCCCCGCTTGCAGGCGAGGGACGAGCCGCAGCTCAAAGCCAGTTCGCGCAGCGGCGGGCCCGGGGGCGCCTCGTGGCCCTCGGGCACGTTGCACCCGCGCTGCGTGGGGAGACAGGAAGCGACAGTGTTGCGTGGGCCATTCTCACGTCGTTGTCTCTTCCGAGTTCCAAAACTCCGGGTGGCTATTCACATGTGTTGCCTCATCTCACAGAAAGGAAGACAGGCCTGAAGCGACGAGCTTGGGATTCGGACCGGCCGCTGCTTTCACCCCCGCAGACTGCCTCCCAGGGCGGCGTCTCCGAACCCGCTTCTCGGGGGATGCGTTCCTCCCCGGGTCAGCCTCGCCCGGGAGACCCCACCGCCCGCCTCGCCTTTAAAACTTTAGCGCCGTCGGGAATATTTGTGCCAACACAGAAAACACGAACACGGGGTGCTAGCCTGCGTCTTTAAGAAGGGGTAGGCCATGGCTTTTACGTCACTGTTTTCCCCGCCCCTCAGGCCCCAACTGGTTCTGTCCGGTGCTGGAGGCTCCCAGGCTGCCGGCTTAGCACGTGGATGCCGACAGGCCAACTATTAGCTTTCCCTGGGAAATGGCGGTAGTGCTCCTCACGGCTTGGCAACGCCAGCTTTGGGAAATGGGAGAGCGATCTGTGTGGCCTGTGAAGTGGTGCTGGTCAAAAGAGCGCTTTCGGCCGGGCGCGGTGGCTCACCCCTGTAATCCTAGCTCTCTGGGAGGCCGAGGCGGGCGGATTGCTCGAGGTCAGGAGTTCAAGACCAGCCTGAGCAAGAGCGAGACCCCGTCTCCACTATAAATAGAAAGAAATTAATTGGCCAACTAATATATACAAAAAATTAGCTGGGCATGGTGGCGAATGCCTGTAGTCCCAGCTACTTGGGAGGCTGAGGCAGGAGGATCGCTTGAGCCCAGGAGTTTGAGGTTGCTGTGAGCTAGGCTGACGCCACGGCACTCACTCTAGCCTGGGCAACAAAGCGAGACTCCGTCTCAAAAAACAAACAAACAAACAAACAAAAAAAAGAGCGCTTTCCATTCCCTTCCATCCTTAAGCTGAGTTCAGAAATGGCACAAAATAATTTTTAAGGAAAGAACTCAGACCCCATTAAGGTTCTTTATCACCTCAAAGTTTTTGTTTACCTGGCACTTTCACAGCGAACAGCCAAGAGATTATTCTCCCCATTTTAAAGAGGAGGAAACTGAGGTCCTTGTGTATCATGACTTTCCTAGTGTGGAGTAAAACCCAGTTTGTCCCCAAACAGTCTCCTATTTTACAGCCGAGAAAAGGGGGGCCCCCAGAGGTCAATTGCACCAAGATCACCCAAATGAAAGAGCCAGAATTTGAACCCTCACCTGCCTGACCCAGACAGGTTCCCACCCTGTCCCCTTATCAATTGACACTCCGCTGCAGCAGCACCACTTGCATGCCACAAGAATAGAGCACATGGGAGGCAGGGACCTGGCTTCCCACCTTAGCTGCCACCTGCTAGCAGGTATCTTAAGGACTCCAAGCCTTGGCTTCATCATTTATAAAATGAGCCAAACTGGCTACAGAGCTCTGCTTTGCTAGGAGAGTGTGGATTAATGTCCCTCCCTGGAAGGTAGCTTTGGGCAATAACTATCAAAATTCTAAATCTAAACCCAGCCAGGCCACTTCTACGAATTTCTCTAGTCGCCTGCTCCCACAAGTGCAAAATGACATATGAACTCGGCCTTCGTCATTGCAGCCTTATTTGTAACAACAGAACGCTCCTCAAAAGGGAACTGTTAATATCTACAATATCTCCTCATGAGGAGTACCACACGTGCTAGTAAGGGCTGCAGATCTCTACATCACAATGTAAAACAATCTCAAAGACAGTTAAACAGCAGGCCCTGAGAGGGAGCCCCACAGTCGCTCTGAACAGAAGCATTACACCCTCTAGGGGACATTTTTGAAATATTTGAGGCCATTGCCATTCCTGGTTGTCACAAGATTGGAGCTTCTGGCATCTGATGGATGACAGGTCAGGGATGCTAAGTGTTCAACAAGGACTTTCCAAAACAAGAATACCTCTCAGCTCTTCTCTTTCTGGACAATCACTTGCATGAGAAACTGTTTCATAATTGTCAGACCTGGAAGGTAGATCTATTTTACTCACATCTTTTTGTGAACAGTTTTAATATGGTGTACATTGAATTTTCCAGAAATAAAACCACCATGCAATCCTCAGGAAGTTTAGGCTTGGTCTTCATGAGACTTTTACCAAGGGCCAGGCATGGTGGCGCATGCCTGTAGTCCCAGCTACTTGGGAGGCTGAGGCAAGAGGATCACTTGAGCCCAGGAGTTGGAGGTGGCAGTGAGCTGTGGTGATGCCACTGCACTCTAGTTGCGGGGCAACAGAATGAGACTCTGTTTCAAAAAAAAACAAAGAACTTTACCAAGGATCATTTACCATTTCAGGAAATCTGGTCCTGGTGACCACTTGGCCTGTGTGAAGTGAGTCACTGACACAACACCCCAGTCACAGAGATCGTGTGTGTTTGTCAACTTCCATTCTCACGTGTAGTCGAGCCTGATCTTCTACATGCAGAGATACATTATTTTATTATAAATTACTTTCTTTTTTTTTGAGACAGAGTCTCCCTTTGTTGCCCAGGCTAGAGTGAGTGCCGTGGCGTCAGCCTAGCTCACAGCAACCTCAATCTCCTGGGCTCAAGCAATCTGCCTGCCTCGGCCTCCCAGAGTGCTGGAATTATAGGCGTGAGCCACCGCGCCCGGCCATAAATTACTTCCTTTTATTTTTCCTCTATCTTACAGCTTGGCCTTTCTACGGGTTTCTAAAAATCTTGTATGTAGTAAAATTATGTTATGATTATACTACGAATGTCATTTCTGTTTATTTATTTATTTGAGATGGAGTCTTGGTCTGTCACCTGGGCTAGAGTGCCATGGCATCAGCCTAGCTCACAGCAACCTCAAACTCCTGGGCTCAAGCGATCCTCCTGCCTCAGCCTCCTGAGTAGCTGGAACTACAGGCGCACCACCATGTCCGGCCAATTTTTCTATTTTTAGTAGAGACAGGATCTCGCTGTTGCTCAGGCTGGTCCTGAGCTCCTGAGCTCAAGCAATCCTCCCGCCTTGGCCTCCCAGAGTGCTAGGATTACAGGTATTAGCCACCGAGCCCAGCCAGAATATCATTTCTGAATCTTAAAAGAGAGCTACAAAGCAGGTATTACCAAAAGCAGACTTTGAATCTGATTTTGTTAAGAACTTCGCAAAGAACCCCATGAGCCACCAAGCACCACACAATCCTGTGCGTTGGCATTGGCTGCCGGGGCTGCAGTTCCGGCTACCCAGTGTGACCCAAGCTGTCTGGAGTAAGCTGGCCACCAGACCAGTGTGCCAAAGGAGGAGCATTTGTTAGTTGGGCACACACCAAAGGCCAGGTCCATATGCGTTGCTCTCTTTTTTTTGTTGTGGAATTGGGTATTTCTCTTTCTTTTAAATTTTTGAGTGCTTGTTGTGAGCCAAATGCCACTGTAGGCACCTGGACACAGCAGGGAATAGGCTACAAAAGGTCCCTGCTCACACTTTCTAGTGCAGGAGACAAAAAAGAAACCGAGTAAATAAATAAGACAATTGCAGACAGCCAGGGCACCTGGAAGGGCAAAAAACAACAGGGTCATGTGACATAGAGTGCCTGGGCCAGACTAGAAATAGGGGAACCCAGGGGCTCAGGGAACATCCACAGAAATACACCCATGGTGGGGGCCAACAGAGGGTGGAGCAGGCTGGGGCGGAGGGAGGCATGCAGATGAGACATTGGAATGTCACATTAACTTAAATTGACAAACACAGGCTCTGGGTCACACCTGGATTCAGCCCAGCCATGTGACCTCAGGAAGGTTGCTTAACTTCCCTGAATCTTAGTTCTTTCATTATAAAACAGGAATGGTAATTGTAGCTACGTCAGAGGGTTGTGTTAAAGATTAAAGAGAAACTTAAAGATTAAACAAGAACCTGGCATATTATAAA